TGAAGATCTCCATTTTCTCCGTTTTGGGTGTCTGCGTGTGGACAGACAAAACCGGAGTTTTAAGGTCCGCAACGTCACTTTCCGCGACAAAAAAAATGCTGACATCACGTGTGCGACCTGTGTTTACACTAGCCGACAGCATGGATGCCCTCAGAGCTGCGCTCGCTTTATCAACTGTCCAAGCGCTTTTTGCTTGTTTGTTTTTGCAAGCGGAATTACTGCTCCTTGAGGAAGACCACAGACGAAGGACGAGGTTAAGAATGGGGGAAGTACTGCCGCCTACAGGTCTGGCATGTCCTTAACAACGTATTTATCCAGGTACGTGTGGACAGAGTTTTTTTTTTTTAAACGAGGTGGTGTGGATGCAAGTTTTTGGAGGGGCGGATATTCGTTTAAAAAAAAACCCGGCTACGTGTGGACTAGACCTCACTGTGGCCAAAAAACTACCACCAGTTCTTTATGCAACTTGGAATGTCAAACCAAGTTGAGTTGTTCCATCTCTGACTGTAATTCTCTTCTTGTGTGCTTTACATTTTGCACTGCATTTATTATTTTTTTGTCTGTTTTTTGTCAACTAATTTGTAATGAAACCTAAATAAATGACTCCTGGGCATGAATATCTTTTGCTGCAGTGCCGTTTACAAAAAAACAGAGGCTGGCTTTTTTTCCCTTTAAATCTGCTTAATTTGAATGCCCTGCAGCTGTCACTCACACATACTAGCCTATAGAGAGATGTCCACCTTTGTTCATGCAGTGTGAGCGAAATTATTTAAAAGTGAGCAGCTTTGAAAAATTAAATGTTTCAAAGCAGATACTGGGTAAAGCAAGTCCTTTCAAGTACAGAGGTTCAAGTAAAAGTCAAGTCCCAAGTCACTGGTATAAAAGTTATAAAATGGTATAAAAGTCTAAAGTCATAAAATGAATGACTCAAGTCTGACTCGAGCCCATTTATGTGAAACAAGTCCACCTCTGCACAAAACTGAACCAATCTAAAACACAATCACATTCATAACATTTTCTAAAAACGCAGATTAACAGAAATGATTTAATATTAAAAGATGTTTTCATTTTTTAATTTCTATGATCTAACAAACACAAGAGCATTATGAACACGCTAAACAAACAAGAAAAGCTATTTGACATTTTTACAATTGAGCTTAAAATGTAATGAAAGGACACAATAAGTTAATTTAAAAATATTTTATAACAAGTAGAAATCAAAACTGTTGCAGAGTTGTTCAATAATGACATTTTGGTGATACTTATGGTAAAAAAAACACTTCAATTTTGAGGAAAACGAAAGAGTTTGGAAAGTGTAGCTATAAACTGGGACTTTAATCACTCACTGTAGCCGGATGATAGAGATATGGGTAGACATGAACTGGCCTAAGCCATTATGTGTTAATTACATCTTAGCAGAGCTGATATGTGGTACCACAGAAATGATCTATTGAATATAGATCTGAGAAATGGTAAAAGATGACAACTTACAATGTGAGCTTTAAATATTTTTTTTCTTTTGGATTAAAAAAATATAAACAATCTTATATTTTGCATCTAACAACTCTCATTTTACATGGAACTGACTACAGAAATGCTTTGATAAATGTGTGTGTGTGTGTGTGTGTGTGTGTGCGTGTGTGTGCGCACGCGCATGTGTGTGTGTGTGTGTGTGTGTGTGTGTGTGTGTGTGTTTCTGGGATGGTACAGGGCCTGGACAGTCAAAGTGGCATCAATGAGAGGTGAACAAGAAGGAATGAGTCAGGGTGGTAGCCTGAATGGGTCTGAATTAGTCCTCTTTACTCCTGCTTTTAAACACACACACACACACACACACACACACACACACACACACACACACGCACACACACACACACACACACACGCACACACACACACACACACACACACACACACACACACACACACACACACACACACACACACACACACACACACACACACACACACACACACACACACACACACACACACACACACACACACACACACACACACACACACACACACACACACACACACACACACACACACACACACACACACACACGTCAGAGGCACATGTGTTGAAGCACAATTCACACAGAAGTTAAACTAACGGCCAAGAAAAAAACAAAAGCACAACACACACCACACAACACACACCACAGCACACTAGGGGTTTTAGCACTTTGCACACAGACACAAATCTGCACTCAATGTTCAAATTAGATGAGGGAACACACTACTGTCACACAGGTGAGTTAAATGTTTAAAGAAAAATCGAAACCACCCAAACAAACACAAACACACACCTCACAGCAATATTACTGCTGGCAGATAACATTTAGACAATGCTAGCAGTGGGCTGGTCTTCAAACCTGGGCAAAACTAAGTGTTAAAAGGGATAGCTGAGGTCTTTAAAGTGAGTTTTGTAAACATGGAGATTTACAATTCTACCTGTTAATATAAACACTAGTTCTGACCATAGACTTACAGCTTGTTAGGTCAGAGCTGTGGAGTGGATTACTGCTTTCTACAGCTCTAATCTCCAAAATATTAATGTAGTTCCGTACATGCGTTGCTATGATTAGGGATGATTTTAGAATCCACATTTTAACTGGCACAGCTAACTAGCCCTTCGCTCTTCATTCTGGTCAGATCTAGGATTCGTTTTTCCAAATTGTTTCCAACTCCTCAGTAAAAAAAATGGATACTGGCTGACCTAAACGTTTCTAGAAATCCCTAAATGATGTCATTACCTAATTTGCACATTTGGTCATGAGTGCAACAGCAATGAACTCCATGGGAGAGACAAAAGAAAGTGATTGCATCTGGGACGGGGACTACTGAGCAAGGACTGGACTGACTGTGAGTGCTTTGGGACAGGACAAGGTCCATGGCAGCAGCTCCTGCTCATTGAGAACAATGATGTAGCATCAGAGTCTATAAATGCCAGATAACATCAGGGAGTATATTTGATTTGTAGATTTATTTATTTATTTTTTTTCATCAAAAGACAAACTAGAGAGGCCTGAATTCTCAGTAAATAAAATGAGAAACTGAGATTGTGTAAGGAGTAACTTACAGGTGCAATATTATTTGCTCATAAACCACTTCATCAGATTTGAACAATCCATCATGGGGATGTACAAATCCAGGTAATACACGTTTGGTACTACCAGGGTTTAAAAATGAAATATAATCTTACAGTTAATTTCTTTGCCCATGAATGAAATAAACCACGTCACAGAAACATTGTGCACTAAACATTATGTGCAACGCAGCTGATCATGTGTCACAGAAAACCAGAATTAAACCACACCATTTATATTACAGGAAAAGAAATGTAAACTTTGGGTTGTTAATTTTGCATAAATAACAATAAAAAAGTAAAACCATTGAACAGAGAGAACATTGTACACTGTGAAGATCACTTCATACACTGAAAGCATGCCATGCACACATTTTGTCAGTAAAAAAAACCACAAATGTAGACTTTCTGTCAAGAAACTCGTCACTCACACACCAAGAAGTACCTTCAGCAGACCTGGCAAGAATGTGTTTTCAATAGATTTATCTCCGTAATATAGTTGATTTGTGTTTTTATGTGCCTTCTTTGAACAAATAAAACTGTGTTCTGTTGAGTCCCAGGTCTGAATCATTTCCTCACTTCCACACAAACACACACACACACACGCGCGCACACACACGCACACACACACGCACATGCACATGCACATGGAAACGGGAACAGCAAAGCGTGCGGCATGCAGCATGCACAAACTGTAGTAGACACACTGAGCTGGATTTAAAGAGGAGGAGAGAGGGTCCCCACTCGATTGAACGAGGGAGGAGCACGGAAAAACAAGATGACAAGAGAAGAGGAGGCCCAGAGGTTGACATGAGGTCTTATGAGGTCAGAGGTCGGACAGGTAGAGCTGTGAGGAAGAAGAGCAGGAGAGCGGAGCAGGGCGACTGGGCAGCGTGTCACAGGTTCAGAGAAAAAGACAGAAAAGTTGGACAGATTCTTGAGGCAAAGAGAAAATTTCAAATAAAACACTGAAGTGTCAGTGTCTGATGTCAGATGTAAAAAGACAAGTGAAATTTTGTCTTCATCTCAGGAGAGAGAAAGAAGCAGTTAGAAAGAGAGAAACAGACAGAACAAGGTATGAAGGCCTGGAGCAACTTTTCAATCCTGTGCTAGAGCCACTTTTGATTAGTGTATCCATCCCAGACGTACGCACACACAGGCATGTGCACAAAGGTGTGTCTGTCCACACACCCCACAACAGACTCCCCAGCCTGGAATCAAACCATCTCAAGCCTTCGTAGTAAAACTTTTACTTAGATCTCCATTTTCTTTGGCCTTTAACTACCTGAAATATTTCAGCAAATGTGAGAGTTATCCTTGATTCTTGTGTCAAGCATAATAATAAAGTACTGTTATCGTTCTAAATGAAGTGTGGGAAAGTGAAAGTTAAAAATGACGTGTGCCCTGGTGAGAAATGCATAAAGGCAGTGTTAGTGCATGCTGAGAAAGCATGGGTTCATGGTGGAAAAATGACACCATTCCTCACATCTCAAAAATATCATTTGACACTCATCATCATCATCATCATCATCATCATCATCATCATCAAGAGCAGCAAAGCACCATGCAGCCCCAGTTCCTTTAGACTTACCCCTTCTGAAAAACGGGGGCCTAATAACTCGTGGCTTGTGCACAAGGCGTGATGGCTTTATGTCCGTGATCTCTTGTGGGGCAACAGAAACAAGGTACATGGCTGTTACCCACACTCTAAGGTTCAACTGGAGCAATGACTAACATGGCTTCCAAAGGAATTTCTGTGCTGTTAAATATGACTTTTGGACAAATACAGAAAACCTCTGAAGTCAAATGTTGTGAGTAAATTGACTAAAACAAGTGTAGGTGTCTTAATCTAGATGGGTGATTCAGTACTGATAAATAAGAAACATCTTGTGTTTGTGTGCCTTACCATTAATGACACTTGGGGACAGCATAGTGGAGTCATGGTCACCAAGACGACAGGCACCCTCCTCTGATGACCCAGGTCCTGGCTCTGGAGCCGAACCCTCCAGAGATGTGATGATGTCGGCACGGTCAATGTTCTTCAGAGCAGTGTACAGGCTCTCCACTGAGTGGCAAACACACCAAAGAAATTAGAACAAGTACAAAATAAAAAAAAAGAAAGTATCGTACATGCATGAAAGGGCAAAGAAGAAAAGAATACAGGCAGGGAAGATCTAGAAATGTAACACCAGATGTGTGTATGTTACATAACATCTGTGAAGTGTAATAATCAGCAAATGGCCTCCAGCCCAACCCAGACCAGGATTGGGCACCCCTGATGTAGAGGCTGAAAAATGTACTGCATCTTAAGCCATTAGTCCCACTTCTGTATTTACAGCTGAAAGCAACTCTTCTCATTTGTGAATGCACACCTCTAGTTAACCCCACAGAGCTAACCCACTGTGCAAAAACCTAGTTTGGACATCCTACAGACGTGGACCAACGGACTCAATATAAACATGATCTGCACATCCATGCGATGTTGACTGTTTGCAGGGAAAACACTGGTCCAGGGCACCCCACAAGGGCTCATCATGAGATAGATTTGGACAGATTCATCTGTGTGTTGCCGTTAACTAAATCTTAAAGGGGCCCACCGGAGAAAACATATATTAGCCCCATTCATGCAACCATACAGAAGAACCTTGTGGATGAACTCTGGGGTAAGTGTGGGTTTGCCTTGCCCACACTACCCCAGACACAGCCCACAAAAGCCCATGGTGGGCCCAAACGGACATGTTTGCTGGTTTGGATCCATGCTGCCATCTTTCTCGTTGCTTGTTATTGCTTGAACTGGCAAAATGACATGATCTTACTATTCTTTGGGCAAATTGTGGCCTTGTGGGGCCATTTGCAAGAGTGTCCACTATCGTACTTATTGCATCCAATGGAAAGCCAGGGTTCTGTTGTCCAGAATCTAGTAATGCATAACCAAACAGTGTTTTTGCAGTTTATTTTAGAGCTCATTACAAAATGTGCATTGAATTAACTCATAGTTGTTTACCAGTGTAAAACAAACAAATGAAAACTAAAAGCAATCCATATGATTATAGAAAAAAAAATTAACCATCACAATTCTTTTGCAAATTTTTCAGATTTAAAGGACTAACACCAGGTGTTGTTTTCTAACCAACTGTTAGACTTACTCTTGGCTCTTTTGCCCTCTCTGCTGACCCACAGGTTGAGCAAGGCTGAGCTCTGGTCCAACAGGGAATTTGGATTTTCTACACGAATCCTGTTGATGTCATCAACACCAAAATGAAGCTCTCGTGCCAATTCTGACAGGATAAAATGTCAGGACATGAAAAAGATAAAGAAAAATTATTTGATATTTGAACTATTAAGCTAACATATGAAGAAACCCCCTAGTTATCACGTCATGACACATTTCAAGGTAGATTGTGGCAGTAAACTTTTTAGTTTAATTAATAACAGGTCGGTGTAAAATACAGATTCGATGCTTAGAGCAAATCCCCCTCTTGTCTCTTTTTTGACCATTGACACTGGGAGACAGGGTTAGGGCAAAGTGGAAGGGCTATCTAGTATTTTAAATAGCAATTCCACATAGAGTGATTCAAACAGAGGCAGTATTTGTTAAAGACACATTCTGCAACTTTTTGCACCTTAAAACAGCATTTTTTTGAAAAATGTTGGCGTCATTGTATCATCTATTATGTCCATTTTCAGAGTTATAAATGTGCTATGGGGTCCCACGTCTGTTTACTGCACTATATAGTTTTTGACCTGCAGTCCACTGCCAGAAGTGCTGACTGAGTGTTGCTTTACGGCAGAGTCGCAAAGACTCCATAGACATGAATACGTAGACGCCCCATTGAGCGCAGGAGAGAGTAACAGTATTGCCACCACATCAAATGGGTCCCCTCACTCTCCAAAGTCAATGCAGGGTGAACAACTATGTCCGTTTTTCTGCAGCCTACTGTTGCAACAACCAGCAGTTGAAAACAGTTGAAAACAGATCAAATGGGATTACTAGTGACTTTTCTAGCCTACATGATTGGATATTTCATTTACATTTTTATTTATTCTTTTTAATTATATTCATATTTCAATTATCATGCCATACCACGTGTCTGATTTTGTGAAAAAGCTTGATAAAATTTATTTTTTAGTTGGGTAGACACCTTCCTCTGCAGAAATGAATGCGCTGGGGGTGAAAGGAGACCCATTAAAGATAGCAGCTGGCCACTATGGCAGCTCCAGTAGGCAGTGCTAGTCCACGGGGTGTCTACGTACATATGTATGTGGTAGACACGCTGTTTAGAGGTTTCAGAAATGGCAGATCCATCAAAGAAGGAAAAAAAAGAGAGAACAAGATAAAGCAAGAAAAAAATCAGAGTTGATGTTGGGCTGGCTTTTCTTTGCTGGAGAGCTCTTCTTGAAAGACTGGCGTGTACAACGGTCTCTGACCCAGCTGTGCTGCTAATGGATAATAAATTATTTCACTGGGGTTATTGTGCTTGGTCGGGCATAAAGTTGTTACACAGTCCTGATAATACTTTTGTCCATGCTGAAAAGGCACTTAATGTGTTTGTTTGGGCATGTGAGTTGGAAAACAGCCAGTAAACATGCTTCTTGTGTATGACCGAGAAATTTGATTTTACGACAGCGGCGTTACGCAGCAAGCCTTGGGAGGGTGACAGAGAGCTTATATTTGCAAAATTCAGTAGTGTGTCTTTAAAACATCAAGTTTAGTTTCATGTTTGGTTTTAATGTTAAGCTTCTTTTCAAGTGTGACATTGTTATAGCATATTGAGGTCTGCTGCAAGATATCTAGTGCACATGTCAGTTATGGGCATTTGCATACATTTGCATAAAATGATTTGGAGACAATAAATTATGTATTGACTTTTTGTAGTGGCCCAAGAAAACAATGTTATCAAACTGATCAAATTATTGCATTGTTCAGCTCAGAACACGTTTCTGTCAAACCATTGATTTTAGCCAATAAGCCAATAAGGTTTAGGTTCTTTTTGTGATCTGCTAGCCTCTCAGGTTGTTGGTTTGAACTAGGTTGACCCAGAAAAAGATGAGAAGAAATATCCTTACGATTATGTGAACATTGGTTTAAAATGGGATGTGTGATCACTTTCCACAGTAAAATCTCAAAGAAATCTATTTTTTGTGGAATATTCCAACAGCTCTCATTTGTGATTTTCAGCATTTGGCCCAAGTCTAGATGGAGTCAGAGCGACCAAAAACCAACATTGCTGTTGCCAAAAACCTGCCAGCAGTGGTCAACAACATTTCCATGGACAGACATCTCTACATACATGAAGAGACTAACCTGCCCAGCTCAAACCCAGCTGCTCTGATACAAGGTTGATTTTGATCTCAGCCCGCTCTATGGCATTCACTGTCGCTGAAAAAAAAATAACAAAATAAAAGCTTAGAAAAGACAAAAGCAAGGGTCATCAAGAGCAAAAGTGTACTACAAGGTTCTAGCTTTATTCAGTTTGTACAACTGTCATAATTTGAACAATTAAAAACATTTTTATGTGATTTCTATGTAATCAGAAAATTAAAAACCAAACTTACCTTTTGTTCTGCTTGGACAAGTAAGCAAAACCCCACCACATTGTTTTTGTCCACATTTTCATTTAATCTCAAGGTTAGATATACAGTCAACAGGGGGAGGTTAGTCGTTGGGTTTCATTCAAATGCTAGTCCCACTGACCACAACAGCATCCAGTATCCATTACAAAGGGACCAGTTTGCAATGTAGCAGCGCTGTGTACTCAGTAGACAGAAAAGACCTTTCCCTGTCTCCCTCCCCACCACCAACATCAACTTTCTCAGAATTTAATTCCAGTTTAAGGGCTCGTCTGTCTAACTCCACTGCGAGGTCCCGCCCATTCTCAATGCTCAGCTGCAGTGCTAATGCTAACAGAATCTGCTGGCATGCCATTGGAAATCGCAGTGGAGATACCAGCGCCATGCAAAACCAACTACAGAAGTCATTCTCTGAATATCATAGCTTCCAAGCCACGTGGGAAAGAGAACACTAATTCCCCAGGTGCCATGGAGACATGTCTGGTTATGTCCGAGACTGCCCCTTTTTTTCCCTTTGGCTTCAAATTCCTGAAACTGTACTGCAAATGCAGTTACCCCAGGGCATAATGTGGAACAATACGTTGCATCCAAGGCATAGTCTTTGTGCCATGCGTCCACATGAGAGAGACTGGGACAAATAGAAAGGGTAGAGTAGGAAGCAGGGTTGTGGCCAAAGGGGCATTGCAACATTCTGTGCCCATCTCCTCTGTGTTTGAATCAGGAGAGGGCTGAAAGTCAGGCAATAAACACTCACCCACACCAGGCTCATTCAGCGCACTGTAGCGTTCTCTCAGAGCAAGAGGGGTCAAAGTTCGCCTGCGCTCCTCACTCCCAACTACCTGCAAAAAGAGTAAAGGAATTACTTAACAGGGAATAGTTGGCTCCTGAGCTATTTGGAGACAGGTTGCATTATGCAGGTTTATGCTAGTGTTTTGTCCGCATTGCAGAAGTGATTTGTCAGAATATTCACAGAATATCCAGGTTTCAGAACCGAGACCAGACCAGATTCAAGGAGAGGAGAAATGCCTGATGCAAGTAGTTTTCATTCAGGCGTTTTCATGATTTTCAAGTTAAAACCTTAAATTTGCAGCTGACACAGGAAAATGCACGGATGCATCCAAAAGCACGTTTGGGGTTGTTTTTAGGAGGAAATAACAATATCATATGGCAAAAAGCTCAGAAAAGTGGATATTCCGAGATATGACCCTTCACAACATGTTTGAGTGTGTTTGCAGGCGAGGCCTTACCTTGACACAAGGTGGCATAGTGATGTTAAGGTTACACAACACGTGCTGCGCATCCTCGTACTTTGTGCTTTTTCGCAGGAAAGACAAAAAGCCAGTGGCCTCTTTGTTGCTGTCTCTGACCTATCATTTATGAATGGTCAAAGGAGGAAATAAAAACAAGAGGGAAAAATATAAGAGAAGTGAAGGAATGAGAAAAGAAGAAAGTGAGGAGAAACGGGACAGAAAGAAGAGAAAGAGGAAGAATCAGGTATTAGATTTCCTCCATGGAGTTTTGAGCATGTGGCGCAGTATCATAGAACCATAAGCAGGGGGAACAGGAGAGGAAGCAGTCCACAGGCAGGCAAGAGAGAGATTTACCTGTACATTTTACCTGGACGTCTGTCAGACCAGACAGTTACAGAGTGACCATGAGAGAAAGAAAGAAAGGCAGTGAGACAGAGACATACAGACAGGCAAGGCCGCAAGATAGGAAGGCAGGCAAAGAAAGTGAGGGACACACGGGGCATGCAAACATTTACCCAACAGAGTCTGCAGTCAGAAACCGCTTAATGCGTGGCTACAGGAATTTGAGCGACTGATACTATATGCTGTCTGTCACAACGAGGGACACACACGGACAGAGACATTGGCAGTACTTATGAACAGTAAAATATACAGATGTCAGAGGACAGAGAGGAAAGGGGGTTGAGAATCTTTTGGCTTTGTAAAAAAAAAAAAGTAAAACATTTTATTCCTAACATTGTGATTAACCTGTAAGGTTTGAGTATTTTGACACATGACAAGCTTTGTTCTCTGTTGCATTCTACTGTTGATTTCTTCTCTGCTAATGAACTTTTCTCATTCATTTGTTTTGTTGCTGCAGTTTGATTCACTTGTGGTAAAAGGAAGCTTGTTGACTGTTTCTTGTGGGTACAGAACAGGCCAAAAGTTTGGACACACCTTCTCATTCAATGTGTTGTCTTTATTTTCATGATCATTTACAGTGGGAGATTCTCACTGAAGGCATCAAAACTATGAACGAACACATCAGGAGTTATGTACTTAACCCAAAAAGGTGAAATAACTGAACATGTTTTATATTCTATTTTCTTCAAAAAGTCTACCCTTTTCTCCAATCACTGCTTTTCACACTCTTGGCATTCTCTTGATGAGCTTCAACCGGAAATTGTTTTCCAACAGTCCAATAGGTGTGATGCCTTCAGTGAGAATTTCCCAATGTAAATGGTCATGAAAATAACTACAGCCCATTCAATAAGAAGGTGTGTCCAAATGCTTGGCCTGTACTGTATATAACAGTCCTTCCCAAACAGTAAAACTTTATTTAGCATGAATTACTGACCACACTTGTCTTTGTGTCTTTATTGTATAATCACTCAGTGTGGGCTGCAAAAAGAGGTAAAATCCTTCATTCAAATAACTTGTAGTACAGGGGTATTCAATCCCAGTCCTGGAGGGTAGGTATCCAGCACGCTTTAGTGGTCTCTCTAGTCCAACACACTAGACTCAGTGTTGAATCATCTGTGCAGCAGATCACCAGTCTCTGCAGAAGCCTGTTAATCACCTACTGATTCAAATCAGGTGTGCTGAAACACAGTTTAAGCTAAAATGTGCTGGGTACCGGCCCTCCAGGCCCGGAACTGTTTACCTTGTTGTAGCGGAACCACAACTTTCATAATAAACTAAAACATCTATTTGTTTTTCTACAGAAATGATGGAATTCTTGGAAAAATTTGTTTCTAAAAACCACCTCGAACAACCAGTTCTCCTCAGTTCTGCAGCTTCTTGATTATAGCTTAACAGAAGATTGATGTGATCAATGAGAAGAAACCCTTTCACAAGTAAAAAACCATTTTACCAAACTTAGGGGTTGTGATGGACGCTAAACTAAAAATGGACATTCATGTCAACCAGGTAGTTAAGACCTGTTTTTACCACCTGAGGCGTCTCTCTAAAGTTAAGCCCATTTTAAAAAGGCGTCATCTTCATTCAGTTGTCCATGCATTTATTACTTCCCGTCTCGACTACTCTAACTCAGTGCTATACGGTATCTCCTCCTCCACTCTCGCTCGACTTCAGCTTGTGCAGAACGCAGCAGCTCGTTTCTTGACTGGCACCAGGCAGCGGGAACACATCACACCGGTTTTAGCAAATCTTCATTGCCTCCCCATCCATCTCCGGATAGAGTTTAAGATCCTGGTTTTTGTGTTTAAATCCCAAAATAACTTAGCACCTGGCTACTTGTCTGAGCTCATTCACCCATATGTCCCTACAAGATCTCTCCGATCAGCTGACCAACACCTCCTACATGTCCCTAGCTCTCGCTGTAAGTACCGCGGGGAGCGCGCCTTTTCAGTTTGTGCACCGAAGCTCTGGAACCACTTGCCCCTCCCGATCAGACTCTCTTCCTCTCTTTCCCTTTTTAAGTCTCGTTTAAAAACTCACTTTTATTCTCTGGCTTTTAATTCTGTCTAACTTATTCCCTTTCTACCTTTCCTTTTAGGGTTGGATTACTTGATTTTAATGGATTTAGTTTTTATTTTTGATTGTTTTTATTATGTGTTTTGTTCAGCACTTTGGTCGGCTCTCATGCCGTGTTTAAATGTGCTATATAAATAAAATTGGTATGGTATGGTATGGTATTTGTAATTTGTTTTATTTTTCTACCAGTAGCGCTTACTGAGCCAGAAAGTATGGGCCAGAACAAGATGCTGTCCAGGATGTGACCCATCCCCCTCAGACACCTTTTCCCAACAGTGAGTTTAAACATTTTTATCTGGTTTTTCTCCATCTGAGACGACCTCATGCAAAATTGATGAAGTCATCCACGTTACATTTCAGGGTGCAGTTGTGAATTAGACTTAGAGAAATTGGCTTTCCAAAGTGCTAACAAGCTAGCGTGGCTACACGTTTTAATGAGGTTTGCTGGTTTTGAATAAAACTTCACCTAACAGATAAGTGATTTGATGGCTGGCATCAAAGTCTTGATCTGTTTAGGACACAAGTAAAAAACATTCCTGACTGAAGAATGTTCAAAATGCAGAAAAAAAGAGTGAAAAAAAAATCACGATGTTATAATTAAGTTAAACAATAATAATATATGTTAGTATTAATATTTTATGTTACAACTTCCTACATAATATTTAATCATTTTTACCCCAAATAACTAAAAATGCAAAAAAAAAAAAAAATTATCTTTCTTTAATTTGTAGAAAGAGTTAAATGCATCATAGTTTTTGTAAGTATTGAGAGGTTTGTCTTACACGTGTCTTTTCATGATAATAATGAAAACACTAAAAAGGTCACAATATGAACAGGATGTTTGGGTGATCGGCAGTGGAACTATCTCCATAGATTTTCCTCAACATCCTAACTCCTGTAGGAGCCCCAAAAACAAACATCCCACCCAAAATAAACAAATGAACAAAAATATTAGATGTATTTGCTGCTGGAGATTGATAAGAAGGTGTATAAACAGTCAAGCAGAGACAGACCTTAACTGAAACAGGCAGTCTGTTATCTCTAAAGGCCTGGAAGCTGAAGCTACGGGGCTGCTGGGTGGCCTTCCGGATCGGCACCAGGTTTCCAGAGCACTCCAGGTGCAGAGGCATGCCCTCCATAAGCTACAGAAAAAGTCAGAATGCTCAGCTGAATCATCATGTTTCCTTTTTCTCATGAGAAAAAAAAAATCACAGTCACAAATCTTCACAATAAATGACTAAAATAGCCAAGCATAACATTTAACTCATTCGCTGCCAGCCGTTTCCTGATCACTGACGGACTTCGCTGCCAGCGTTTCTCACCGTTTTTACTGGTTTTTAAGAGTCAGAACATTGCGCGCCAGGATGATGTCGACGCCAAAACAACCAAAACAAAGATGAGACTCACCTCTTACATCAGGAAGAATCCGCATGTTTCGAGCGTTTTCCATTCTTTCATAATCAGTTGTCAAATTGTGATCGGCAGACGCTTTTTCGGTTCTTGCCTCACCTATTTTACAGGAACGGCCCAAAACTATCTCCTAACACATGTGTGTTCTGCTTCCTGATCACGGGACGTGTGACGTATGTGGATGAAGATCGGATTCAGGGCTGAGATGTTTGTTGTCTCAGCGCGGGGGCTCGTTCCGATGCTCAAACAGTAAAAAAATGCAAATGACGACTTTAGTCGTCATTGGCAGTGAACGGTTGGATTTAAAATGACGACTTTAGTCGTCAATGGCAGTGAATGAGTTAACAACAACCGAAAATGGATGTTGTGCAATTTGTGACCCAGACCCTCTGTTCTGACCTCAATATCTCTGCTGCGTGCCACTTCGGTGAAGTTTTCATGCAGCTCCAGAGTTTTGTCCATCTTGTCATCTGTCATGCAGTAACAACGCAGCCGCCCTTCACGCGCTTCATTCATCTTTGCAAAAATAACAAATTTGGCCATGTATGGAACTGCCATGAGCTCTTTGTACAGCAAGTTGGAAAAGGTCACGGCCTCTGCTGTACGTGGACAGTCTGCCAGCCAGAATCTGGATCATGGAAAAGAATGTGCTGACATGTTAGACGCGTACAAGTAAGCAGGTGGAGAAGTGGGAGCGACTGTAAGGTGTTTACCTAGCAGACACGTTGGTGGTAAAACTGGCACAGCTATGGGCGTACATCAGCTTGGTGGTTCCAGTGATGTCCTCCCACTGAGCTGGAGCGGTTCCACCTGAGTCACAGTCATCAGATTTTGTTTTTCATAGACACAGATTACAACAAACACTGAAAAAAGTAGGAATTTAGGAAAATTATAGATTGTGCTATTTAAATACCAATGACACTGCAGAGGAGGCGCAAGCTGGTGGTGTCTCCCTCGCCTGCATCGCGTGGACTTTCCCTCCAAGATGGGGGTAAAGGAATCCGCAGTCCAATTGGACGGTGAAACTTGCGCCGTCGTGGTTCGATGGTAACCACTGGGCTAAAAGTTGCTTGGTTTCCGAGCTGTCTGGTCAGCAGCTCATCAGGGATCGGCTGTGCCTAGAGTTTGGTAAAAAGGTAAACACAGTTTTTTAAGATGTTAAAGTTATTTTCCGACTGAAATAAGGCAGAAAAATAAGGGGGGTCGGGGGTGGGGGTATTGCAGGAAAATTATAGCATAGCAAGCCAAAATATGAATGGAAACAGAGGAACAAATATGCAATGAACTAAAAACATCAAACTCACAGCCATACTCACACATGCACCTAATTTTTATTTCAACTCAGATCAGTGCATCAGCTCAGTCAGTGTGGCTCACAACTTAAATCAGGGAACTGAAGAGTGACGAATGGCTGAATGAAAAGAAAACAAACCAGCATAAGGAACAGCAGAATACAGGCTCATGCCACTCACGCTTTTAAATCTTTAAAATGTTAAGTCTAAAGTTTTAACATTGTTTTCAGGACAGTCAAAAAAAAAGGTTCAGTAAAGAATAATCATGCAAAAGAAATGAGTAGGTTAGAGATCTACTTGATGACTGTTTGTCATGTCATGTTTATTTTTCACAATTTTAGGATTTTAAATGTTCATCTATGAATCTATGAGATTTCAGTCCAAGCTTTGAGTTTTGAGTTGTTGACATTTGATTCAAAGTCAAGTCCTAATAAGCCTTCGAAGTTCGAGTGCAAGTTAAGTCTTGAGTCAAAATCAGACACTAAGTCTTTTATTAAAGTGTAACCAAAATAAATAAATAAAGGGCTGGGACTCGATTAAAGAATTAATCTAGGCAATCAGAGGCTAATTCAATAATCTTGATTAAATGCATTTTAATCGCCTATGACAATTTGCCTCCAAGCAATTTCTTTGATTAAAAATTATTTTAGTGAGACACCAATGACATTCCCACACTTTGGTGAGTACATTCCTGTAACCACAAGGTCTATTTGATTACTTTGGTCTCATTATAAAAAGGTAACCATCGTGGGATTTGTTCGGATGTGTAAATATTAGTGTGTGTGTTATTGATGAAGTGTAAATGGAACATTGTAAATGTTGTGTACTGAACATTAGGTGGCAGCAGAGCTCTGCTAAAATATATTTATATAAAGGTGTAGTGTAGAGTTCAGGGGAAGTTCTACTGAGAGTTACAAGATGAGTGCTGTGTGAATGCTTGTCATTCCAACTTTAATAGCTTTCATATGGATAACGGCACTGCCTGCTTTCTACCATCTACAAAACATAATGGTGAAAATTTGATTTTTTTCTTTCTTTTCTTCATCAAGAGTGATTATCATGTTTTATATAAATGTAGTTTTAGTTATGGTTTTAGGTATGGTCTTGTATATGGTATATATATATTTATATATATTTTTTAATATATATATATATATATATATATATATATATATATATATATATATATATACACACACACACACACACACGCACACACACACACACGTAGGTACCGTATGTGTGTGTGTGTGTGTGTGTGTGTGTGTGTATGTGTGTACAAGTATGAGAAACTAGATGTCTTCATATCGGTTTTAAATGCCATTTCCTACATCTTGGTATTACCTGCAGTCCCAGCCTCACTCTCTTGGTAACGGCCGTCTCGGGGAAAATGGCCTCCACGCGTGGCACCAGTTTGCTGCTCAGCCGGCCGCCTTCTGGACCAATAAGATCACTTTCCTGCTGAATGCGAGAGACCACAGCAAAGTAGAGGGGGAAGTCGGTGGAGATGATTCGACGGATTCTCTTCTTCTCCAGCTCCTCTTGACTCTCCAGCTCTAAAATGACATAAATAAAAACAGATAAGACATAAAAAGGGGTGGAGTTTGTAACTGTACAAATCTGGAGAAGACTTTCAAAGTTTGTTTAATTCTGTTCAGCTTTGAATTTTTTTGGGTCTTGTGACTTTGGTTAAGGTCACACTGACCTTCATCCATGCCATTTAGGATAGTTTCCAGCACTTCGTCGCCATAGCGATTGCGATGCTCCTTCCAGACCGAGCCGTTTTCACTACGGAGGATCACAAGCTCTCGATCCCCCCGAGCCAGTGAGGAAAAGTGAGGAATTTCTACTATTACAGGGCTGTTGAGAAAAAGGCATCTCATGTTTATTATCAACTTTAAATGAACAGATGCATAAATGAAGTTTGTAATAAAATTTTTGCTTTTGAAAGAAGCATTTTATGAATCATTCAAAATACTAGTAAAACATACAACTTTCTTGGGATTTATTTACATCTATCACACACTAACATCATCTCAAGTCAAATGAAAGCCACCTTGAATGTTAGACATTACTGTATGTATAAATCCAAAAATCAAGAATGTTTTTGAGATTTTTGTTTAAATAGAAGAGATAAGGTGCCTAAACAGAGAAATGCTCAGATGGATGCATATGTTTGTATGTAACACTAAATTGTGTTTAGCGACAATGACGTTCTGCTGAGCTGTAGGGCCTCATGGAGGGGGCCATCGACTAGCACACTGCTGCTAACTACTTAAACATTCTCTCTCTCCTGATAATAACTTTTTGGTTTCCTTGACTTTTGATGTGCTAATACTAGTTTATCCGTTTAATTATAGATCCACTAGGATAAATACAATAAAGTTTATCTTTCACCAAATAGAATATTTACTAAGACATCATAATATAACTGTAGACACATTACTTGTCCGTGTGTGTGTGTGTGTGTGTGTGTGTGTGTGTGTGTGTGTGTGTGTGTGTGTGTGTGTGTGTGTGTGTGTGTGTGTGTGTGTGTGTGTGTGTGTGTGTGTGTGTGTGTGTCTGCTCTGTCTTCTCGATCCCCAGTGAGTTGTGGAGGATGGCTGCTTATACTGAGCCAGGATTCTCTGGAGGTTTCTTCCTGTTAAAAGGGAGTTTTCCTCTCCACTGTCGCTTTATGCTTGCTTGGTATGAGTATTGCTGTATAGTCACTGACACTAGTCAGTGACTTGATGCAATTTGCTGGGTTCCTTATATAGGAAACATTATTTCTGATTGGCTTAATGAACTGACCTGAATTGGAATTTTTATTATGTGAAGTGCCTTGAGACGACTCTTGTCGTGATTTGGCGCTATATAAATAAACTTGAATTGAATTGAAATTGAATTGAACTAAATAAATACGATGGTCACTCACCCAAGGAACTGCATACTGGAAGGCCCCAGGGAGATGATGCGGCTCGCCAGTCCCTCCCCCTCCACCAGTGGAGGAGGCGTGGTCAGCTTCTGAGGTTTCACAAGACGACAGGTGATCCGCGTTGGTGCAGCGCAGGTCCGAGGAGGGATGATCACCCGCAGGCCATGGTGCCTACTTCCCCGCATGGAGCCTCCTCGTGCATCCACCATGAAGCTCACCAAGAACCTGAGGGTAAGATAAATATTTTAAGTTATCAAATAATTTCAATGCTTCTGAAATACGTGACTTCTGCAGTTAACACTAGACTCCTGCTCATCTCCACTCTCAGCTTTTATATATTTTAAAGATAAATATTTTAAGATCAGTGACAAATCAGCACAATGTCTGATTTCCTTACCCTGTGTGGATGGGGCTGGCCACTGGGCTGACGTTGTCTGATGTCTCAGTAGCTGGACTGCTGGGGATGAGCGAGTCTTCATCGTACTCTTTAGGCAGAGGGATGGGGGTGTGCTGAGGTCAGAGAGAGAAAAAATAAAAGTTAGTGACATAAAGAAAGAAGAAAACTATTTTATGTTGTGCCTCACAAGATAATAATTGCGAGGAGCTTCACCTTCACACACAAAAAAAAAGATTAAAAAAGTAAATCTAAAATATGATTTTTTTTAATTGTGATAAAAATGTGAGGAAAGGAAGAGAGAAAATGATTAAAAAAGAGGGGAATTGGTGGATCCTAGGAAAAGTGGAATTTATAGAAAGAGCAGAATAAGGAGAGTGAGATGAAGGTCACGCAAAAGCCAGCTTGAACAAGTGACTTTTCAGCTGCTTTTTAAAGGAGACCACTGAGTCCACTGATCTCAGGCTCAGGGGGAGAGAGTTCCAGAGTCTGGGGGCCGCAGCAGCAAATGATCTGTCACCTTTGGTCTTTAGCCTGGTGCTGCACAACCAGCTTGGTCGCTGGACCTCAGGGACCTGCTGGGGGTGTAGGGACTGAGAAGATCACCAATGTATGGTGGTGCTTGTCCATATAAGGCCCTATAGATCAGAACCAGGATCTTGAAATGAACCCTGAAGTTGACTGGCAGCCAATGAAGCTGGAGGAGAGGCGGGGTGATGTGGGTGTGTTTGGAGGACTTGGTCAGAAGCCGAGGACAGGCATTCTGAAACACCTGTAGACGGTTCAGGGAGGTTCTGCTCAGACACGTGAAAAGAGAGTTACAGTGGTCAGAGCAGGACAGAATGGGACTCAGCTTAGCAATGTTCCTGAGATGGAAGAAGGAAGAGTGAACAAGGGAACGTAAAACAGAATCCAGGATGAGAGCTGGGTCTAAGGTAGGGATGCACCGATACCAGTATCGGTATCGGCACTGATATGATGCCAATACCAGTATTGGTATCGGTAAAAGTTAACCGATACCAGGAACCGATACCAATGCAGTTGCTTGAAAATGGCTTCACTGTAACTTGTCATTTCTGTTCACCTAATATTTAAATTTTGTGATGATTTCCATTCATTTATTTTACTTTTTGTCTACCTCACAGTCTTTTCCTGTGCAGAAAATAAAATAAAATCTGTATTCCAAATCATTACCTTTTTTGTATGGTAGAAGTATCGGAATTGGTAATCGGTATCGACGAGTACTCAGATCCATGTATCGGTATCGTATCGGTTTGGTAAAAAGTGGTATTGCTGCATCCCTAGTCTTAGGTCACACATTTCTTGTATAAAAACTACAGCCTAGAAGCTCTTTTTTGAAATGTTGAGAATGCAGAACAGTCAAGTACACAGGTGGCAGTGAAAAAAAACAACTAATATATTACACAGAATGGACTTAGGAAAAGGTGGGGGGACCCCCCCCCCCCGTCTCCCCCAAAAACTACGTCCATGCCTGCATCACTAAGAGTCAGTGATGCACCTAGAGGCAATAAAAAACAGGACTGAAAAGGTTGAGATGTAGATAAGTTCAAAGGAAGGAAATAAAGTGATAAATACTTTTGAATTGCACAAAGATGAAAGGATATAACAGAAACAAATACACAATTTTATTCGACCTATAGTTGCATAACTAAGAGTGAGGTATACCTGATCCAGCTGTACCGTCTCTGGTGACACACAGGGAATTCTAGGAATAGCTGGAGAATATGGCCTGTGGTGGAGAGGATGAGCATAATCTGAGTCAACTCATGTGTTTGTACAAAGTCACTGCAGTTCATTAATACATTAACCTCTTAAGATTTGAACCCACCCAGACCACTGGACTTCCATTTAAACACTTTAATTATGTATTGGTCATGGTGTGATTGGGATTTCTTCTTTGTGACCTACATTAGGCCAAGTTTCAGCTGCTGGTCAGAAAACTTGGCTGCTTCTAAAATACTATAGAACAAAGAACAGTTGGTGGTGATTTAACGCAAATTACCTCTGTCTGCTGAACCAAATCTTTAGACCTCCTTGACAATGGGTGTGAGCTGTTTGTGATGCTCATTGCCACCAGGGTGTGAATGCGTGTGTGATTGGGTGAATGACTGATTGTGTTATAAAGTGCCTTGAGGGGTTCCAGGACTCTAGAAGGCGCTATATCAAATACAGGCCATTTACCATTCCCATTCTGATGCTGTTTTTTAGGTTTCCAAAGGCTCCAATTATAAGTTTTTGTGCCAAAATGTATGGCGCGGTATAGGGGCCAAAATTAAGACTACTGCCCAGCAGCAGGGGGCTATATAAATTCTGAAGCAAACTACTGACCTGATTAATGATAAGCTGGCGCAGGTAACTGAGAGGCAGGCGCTGCTTACTGAGAAATAACACCTTTACCAGCGTTACTACTAGATATGCTAGGGACTAGCAGCCCTCGGCTGGTCATTGACTGGTTCACACACTCCCTCTGCTGTCTATTAGCATGGATAGGCTAGCGTTAGCCTGGATGGGCTGGTGTTAGCATTGGAGAGGCTAGCCATTAGCGTGCCTAGGCTGGCCACTCGCTGGATTTCCTACCCCCTTGACGGACCTTTAGCATGGATAGGCTGGCGTTAGCTTCAGAGAGGCTAGCCATTAGCATGCATTCCCTCTTTCCTGTTCACTCTCTCTCTTTCTTAACATTTTTTAAAACACAATTGCCTATTTTTGCTCATTTTAAATATATGTTTAAACATTTTCGTGTTTTTTTATATTTTTACATTTGTTTGTTTTTGTGAAGCGCCTCGTGTATCTTGAGAGGCACTATAGAATATTTTCTTCTTCTTTTTCTTCTTCTAGGCACGCTTATGGCTAGCCTCTCCGATGCTAACACCAGCCTATCCATGCTAATGGTCTGTCGAGGAGGTAGGAAATTCAGCTAGTCCAAGTCTCGTCTCCACGCTCCAGTCCAAGTCTCGTCTCCACGTTTCCAGTCCTGTCCCCAGTCTAGTCGAGCGTTCCCGGTCTCTTGTATAGCCTTGTGGGTGTCTGGTATCCGCCCTTAAGGGGTGGGGGGTGGGGGCTGGGGGGGGGGTACTGTCACATTCTGCCCCTGCCCTCCTTACTGTGTTTCTCTCCTGCCCTGATTAGTCCGTATTGTTCTCACCTGTCCCTTGTTAACCTGCCCATGTTTCCCTAATTAGCCTCCTGTATTTATACCACCTGTTTTGCTCCTGTCCTTTGTCAGATCATTGTTGTTGTTAGTAGTCATCGTTGTTTTGTCCTGTTCATCCCATCCTGCCATTAAAACCATTTTTACTTTATCCGAAGCCTGCATTTTTACCTCCTGGTCAGCTCATCCACACATGGTCCGCCGTCTCCACCTCGTTCAACGTGACAATCTGACCCTCAAAAATGAAGCAAGATATATTCCATGACTTACGTGGTGCCCGTGCCACCATCAAAGTCTCTGAGGGTTTTCTTTGGGGACAGAAAGTCATCGTCCTGGTCCTTGAAGTCATCGAGTTTTAAATATCGTGCTCCATCCAGTCCAAGCAGCTCATCTCCTGTGGAAAAAACTAAAATGTTATAAAGGTATAAAGAAATAAAATTATAGGTGGCAGGAAGAACATGAAGAAATCAAGGAGGAAAGGATCAAATCGGGGGGAGTACAACCCAAAAAATGATGATTGCATGAAAATGCTGGTATAGGTTCTCAGTCATCCAGGTCATGGTAATCCAAATGGGTTCAAATGATGGCAACTGGAATTTCTTGGTTTCTTGAAAGTGGTGGAAAGTGGTTTCAAAAACCAAAGTCGTCCAGTTGCCTTCACCTGAACCCCCTTGGAAGGATTGCATCAAGTTTTTCACACTTCTTAAATGAAGAGAGAAAATATTCCAATGGAATTCATTTATTTGATCTATTTTGTTTGCTATAAAACTCACTAAAGGCAAAAAATAAATGAAATAAAACTGTTTTAACTCCTCAATCCTTTTAATCCTTTTCACATTTATTAAAGTCACAAAAATAAAAATGGTCACAAGTTGTCCGCAAATATTCTCATCCAAGCATTCAACATCCAGAGCCAATGGGAACCAAAGGAGTGGAAGAAAAAAGACAGTAAGACAGTGAGTACAAACGAATTCAGGACACCGCATGGACATTAAATTGCAAGGCACCCAGTGATAGTTTTTTTCTGTTTTGTTATTTGTGAGCATGCCTAGAAAAGATGAATCACATGTGGTGATGGTTGTCTCTGTGAGAGAAAATGTATCTCAATTATTGACCACGAATGATACTGAAAGGAAGATATTAGATAAAAACGATTACAGATGATTTAACATCCATCAGTACACATCAGGAAACCCCAACACAAAGAATAAACAAGGAAAAAAAACGGATGAAATAAAATAATAAAACATCAACAACAGATTGCAAAATGAGGCTTGCGTGATTATTTAAAGCAGAGAGATGGCTGCATGAACAGCTAGTGTGTTCAGGAGAGAGTCACAGCTGCTGCACAGCTTGTGTTTAATCAGCTAATGGGTCAATTAGACTGTAGAAGGAAGAGCAGCAACACTAAATTGGAAAGGAGACTTTTTTTCTGTGCAGAAATATTGAAATTATTGAACAAATTTGCATTGAAGACAAGTAAAAAAAAGTTGAGAGCACAAGCTGATGACAAGTTAAAAGTATATCTGACGAATTCAGAAATGAAGATGATGACACAGAAGAGAAGACAGGGCTGGAGTTGAGAAAAAAAATTATTAGAAACACAATTAGTGACACACAGAGATAATGAAGAAGTGCAACTGTAATGAAGACAAGTTCACCAGCAACTGGGTCAGACAAGGTAGAGAGACAGACACAATCCTACCTAGGGTCAGCTGGGCAACACCTAAGAAACAAATAATAAAAGGTGTCACATAGAAAGCACCAGTGGTTTGTACTTCTGATAAATCAGTGTATCTCCCATGCAGAAGTCAGAGCTGGAAGTGAATCAAATAAAAAAGATGTGGTTTTTGTCTTTACCAAAAACTCAACAATCTGCCTACCTTCATCTTCAGAAACATCCAGAATCTCATCTACTGTCTCAGGAAAGCTCATCCGATGTTTCTCTGTGGTGATCTGAAGCCATGAGAGGCAGTAAGAAAGGAAGAGGGATGGTGGAAACTTGGAAGATTTTTTTTGTGAAATACTTAAGCTTTGGTGTAAAAGATGTTTTACTCACAATGGAAACAGACTCCTCAGTAACCAGCTTTAGCACATCAATGACAGAAATATAACCAAGACGCTTCGCAATGCCCAAGGGAGATGTCCCATTCTACACAGAGAAATAGAAAAACCATTACTATTTTTTATCATCATTGTTTTGTGATTTTTTTTTTTTTGCATTCAAGAAAAATAAAGTCCATGTAGTTATTCCTGCTTCTTTCTGATGTAGAACTGTTCCTAATTCCTAACAGGTTAAAGGTGTTCAGTCAATACAGCTAAAAAAGAAAAAAACAAGGTTATATGCTGGTGAAGGTTCTCAGTCATCCAGGTCACGGTAATCCAAAGGGTTCAAATGAAGGAAACTGGACTTATTTGGTTTCTTGAAGACGTTTTGCTTCTCATCTGGAACATCGTCAATCTCATCAGGAGCTTTGTCAATTCTAACTGGAATAGGGGAGAGTCAAGCTTGAAAGAACATCAAGTTCACCAGGGAAGTTGCACACAACAACCAACTGCCCTTCTTAGACTGCTTGCACACAACAACCAACTGCCCTTCTTAGACTGCGCAAATTGAACAAGATGGAAGTCTCAGCATTGAAGTCTAGAAACAACTCACATAGACCAGTATTTGCTGTCCAAAAGCGCAGATACCCTAACTCAGGGGTTGACAACCGGCGGCTCTGGAGCTGCATGCGGCTCTTTCATCCATCTGATGCGGCTCTGCTTGTAAACTAATTAATGAATATTTAATTACAATGTATTTTATTTTACTGCATTCATTTTTTATCCGTAGCCAATTCTAAATTTGTTGTTGCTTTCTGAGCTGAAGAGGCTATTCTGCCTCAGACAGACTGGATGCATCATGCATCTCCATATTGGAGATGGGAACAAGCGCTATTTAGCCAAAGTTTCATAATCAGAGAGAAATTTTCCAAGTGACAGATCCCTCAGAGAGACAGGGTTTCCAGACCGCTTAAGTGGGAGGAAATCTTACCGCATGCGCCGTGGTTCTGTGCTGCGCTGCAAACCCCTCTACAGATCTTCAGCTCACTGTCCACCATGTGCACTGCGAGCTGCGCTGAGCACAGTGTCCAGTATAAAGCTCTGATGTTCTGATGGGAAACTTTTCTTGATTGATTTAGTTACCTCTGCAATGTACGTAACGATTAAAATGTCAGCTCATCTGTATCAGTGTGCATCGGGGTAATTCTTTCATAACAACCAGCATCCTTGAGTTTATCCGTCAAAGTAAACAGTCAAATGCAAATATCTGTGGACCAGCCTGCCATTTAACTGTTTTGCCTTCCTGTGAAGATTGTTGCAAAGAGAAACAATTTAACTTGATTAACCCCAGAGCCATGCACACTGTGCTGTACTCCGTGACTGTATAGGAGGGAAAAAATTGACTTAATCGGATAATTTTCTTACCTTTTCAACATGGTTAAATGTAAAGTTTCATTCAGTACAAACTTTAGTCGCACCAATCTAATAAGACAGAGCCTGGATTTGTATTCTGAACAGTTTAAACATGTTTAAAACGGAGATATGCGTGACACGTTTAAAATTCGCACCTGCTCAATTATTATGGAAATTAAACTAACAGGATGAATAACATACTTATTTTAGGCACAGACAACACCCCCCACACTTTTGAAAAGCTTGCAACGCGCCTGCTACCAGTTACAAATTGTGAAGGGGAACGATTTTCACAAATGGCAAGAATAAAAAATGGGTTGAGAACAACACAAACTCAACACCACCTCAGTGCACTGTCACTGATGGCTGTTGAATCTCAGCTTGTCAGGAATCTGGACTTTGATGACATTGTAAATGAATTTACTAACAGAAAGGCCAGAAAGCAGCTTTACTGAAGGCAAGAGAGGAGACCAACAAGAGGAAACAAAAAGAAGAGGAAGGAGCCAGAAGTCAAGACAAGGAAGGATACAGGAGACAAGAGGAGGAAGGAAACAGGAGACAAGAGGAGGAAGGAAACAGGAGACAAGAGGAGGACGGAGACAAAAGACAAGAGGAGGAAGGAGACAGGAGACAAGAGGAGGAAGGAGACAGAAGACAAGAGGAGACAGAAGACGGGGGGTAAGCACATTGTGCCCCAGGGGCCCCTGCAATGATAATCCGGCCCTGGCTGAAGAGGATATGAGATTCTGGACTGTTCCTCAGACAGGCTCATGGATGCGTCGCAGTGTTGGAGACAGGATCAAGCGCTATTCAGGCAAAGATTCATAATCAGGGAACATTGTTAAGTGACAAGTTTCTGAGAGTCTGGGTTTAGAAAACACAGAATCTTCCTGGATGGTTCTGGTTCTGGAATGCGCTCCAAGCCCCCAGTATACACATCTTCAGCTTGTTGTCCAACTTACGCATGCGCTGACAGTGAGCAGCGCTGAGCTCAGTGTCCATCTCCCTCCACGATGTGCGTAACGATTAAAATGTCAGTGCATCTGCAGGCTTGTGATTTCTCTGTCAAAATAAACAATCAAATACCGGAAATATCTGGTCAGTCTAAACCCTGTCATTTAGCTGTTTTACCTTCTTGTGAAGATTGTTGCAAACAGAAACATTGAACCTGATTAACACCAGAACCACGCACACTGCGCCGTTATCTCGATCAGTGTAAATGAGGATAATAATAATAATAATAATAATAATAATAATAACAACGGAGGAGTTTGGTGAGGCCATGGAGAAAGACTATCGATCGGCTCCAAAGAGGTTCTGGCAAACTGTCCGGTGCCTCAGAAGAGGAAGGCAGCAACTCGCTCAAACTGTTTACAGTGGGGATGGGGAGCTGCTAACGTCAACTGGGGCTATAGTCGGACGGTGGAAGAAATACTTTGAGGAGTTCCTCAATCTCACCTATGCGCATTCCGAGGAGGAACCAGAGCCGGGAGACCTGGGAATGGACTGTCCAATCTCGGGGGAAGACGTTGCTGAGGTAGTCAAACAACTACACAGCGGCGGAGCCCCAGGGGCAGATGAGGATTGTCCTGGGTATCTCATGGCTATGGATGTAATAGGGCTGTCATGGTTGACACGTCTCTGCAACATTGTGTGGTCATCGGGGACAGTTCCTGTGGAGTGGCAGACCGGGGTGGTGGTCCCCATCTTTAAGAAGGGTGACCTGAGAGTGTGTTGCAACTATAGGGCGATCACACTCCTCAGCCTCGCTGGAAATGTCTACTCCAAGGTACTGGAGAGGAGGGTCCAATTGATAGTTGAATCTCAGATTGAGGAGGAGCAATGTGGTTTTCCTCCTGGCCGTGGAACTGTGGACCAGCTCTATACCCTTGCAAGGGTGATGGAGGGGGCATGGGAGTTTGCCCAACCAATCCACATGTGTTTTGTGGATTTGGAGAAGGCTTATGACCATGTCCCCAGGGGCACCCTGTGGGGGACGCTCCAGAAGTATCGGGTGGGTGGCTTTCTGTTAAGGGCCATTCAGTCCCTTTACCAGAGGAACGTGAGTTTGGTCCGCATAGCCGGTAGTAAGTCGGACCTGTTCCCGGTGAGGGTTGGACTCTGCCAGGGCTGCCCTTTGTCACCGGTTCTGTTCATTACCTTTACGGACAGAATTTCTAGGCCCAGCCATGGTGTGGAGTGTGTCGATTTTGGTGGCAGGAGAATCTCGTCTCTGCTTTTTGCGGATGATGTGGTCCTCCTAGCTTCATCCAGCTCTGACCTTCAGCTCTTGCTGGGTAGGTTTGCGGCCGAGTGTGAAGCGGCTGGGATGAGGATCAGAACCTCCAAATCTGAGACCATGGTTCTCGACCGGAAAAGGGTGGCTTGCCATCTCCGGGTCGGGAGAGAGGTCCTACCTCAAGTGGAGGAGTTTAAGTATCTCAGGGTCTTGTTCACGAGTGAGGGTAGGAGGGATCAGGAGATCGACAGGCGGATTGGTTCAGCATCTGCAGTGATGAGGACGCTGAGCCGATCTGTTGTAGTGAAGAGGGAGTCTAGCCAGAAAGCCAGGCTCTCAATTTACCGGTCGATTTACGTCCCAATCCTCACCTATGGTCATGAGCTTTGGGTAATGACCGAAAGAGCGAGATCGCAGATACAAGCGGCCGAAATGAGTTTCCTCTGTAGGGTGTCTTGGCTCAGCCTTAGAGATAGGGTGAGGAGCTCGAACATTCGGGAGGGACTCGGAGTAGAACCGCTGCTCCTCCGGATTGAAAGGAGCCAGTTGAGGTGGTTTGGATGCCTCCTGGACACTTAGATTTCACCTATCCAGTACCTATAATGCAGCTTTGAATCTCAATCCTAAGCAGTTTCAGTCTAGGTCACACCTTCCTGCATCTAATCAACACAACAACTCATCAGGGGATGGAGAGGCGGGGTACCCAGAATAGTTTAGGCGTGTTAAATAACGACAGCTACTGCTTATAAACTCGACTCTCCCACATTCCAGTTAGAATTGACAAAGCTCCTCAAAAGAGAAGCGAAACGTCTTCAAGAACCTAAGAAGTTCAGTTGCCTTCATTTGAACCCTTTGAAAAACCATGGTTATGTTATTTTGGAAAACTGAGTTTTTATTTCAAGCCTCTTTGCGTGGAACAGTTTCTACAGCAC